TCACTACAATGAAAAATATTTTTCTTGTTTCGTTTTTGGAAAAATAAACATTAAAAACGCTAAAAAAGCAGAGAGTTCTTGCATGTCAGTAGATCCTTGAGCGCTTACCATTTGTATGAAAATTTGGTCAAATTTTTTCGTCAAATGGTACTGGTGTTTTTTTCACACTGAAAACAGGAAAGGGATGAAGCCTGACACTTATAATCCAAACAAAAGAAAATTCTGTTCGTTTCGGTATCAGGAGGAAAAAGGTAATACCTCAGATCCGGAAAGTGTTACCTTTTTCCCGAAATCATATCACCAGGATGAACGGTCCCCCTCGAATTCTCCCCAGAATTACCGGACTTTCCAAACAAATGGCGAGCGCTCTTTATTTTCCCTCTGGGATAGAAGATCGAGCTATCCGTTTAGGCAAACACGTTTAAAAGACTCAATAAAGTGAGACCGTGTTGTGTTCTCTCAATGAGATCATACATTAATACAGTTTTACATGGCATCCTTGAAAAGCAGCGTTTATTTGTAAATAGCTAGGTAGTTAAAATTTAATGAATATATTTTTAATCAGAGTTAGTTTAGTTAGGTATAATAGATCTTAGATTTTTTTTGTACATGCTGAAGGAATTTTAACCGTGTTTAAATAAAGTTATCTATCTATCTATCTATCTATCTATCTATCAACCGCAGAAAGGATCTCTCTTAGATAGAATGAAAGTTGTTGCGTAACTTAATGTCTAAAACCCGATGGTTGTTTTATCGGCATGTGACAGGTCATTTAGAAAAAAACAGTCGGCATAAAATGTTCCCAGCAGTTGGAGCACAATAGACCTTTTTGGCTTGAATGTTTTGTTTTCCCATTTCAGACCACACGGTTCTTTCAAATGTCATCCTATGTACTTGCCTCCATGTTCATATGTATGCATAATTTTTGAAAAGACAAACGGCAAATTTCCTGGAGAACATTACGTGGTCTGACTTGGGAAAATAAAACATAACAAGCTAAAAGATCTATTAGTTTACTCTTGAACCTTCTCTTACGGGGCCTCATATTACGGCTCAATTCTCCGGTTCTGTTGCTTATGACATGGAGTTGAGCTGCGCCCGCAGTAGCCTGCTATAGCACGCGAAGTTTCTGTGTTAAACACAGGGCGCAGAGGAGTTATTGTGTCCTTGATTGTTGATTGTACTTAAATTTTACGGTTTTACCGCGTAGAATAGAGCAAACCGTCATTCGATCGTCTTATAAACCTGGTAAAATACCGTAAAATTCCGAAAATAAGCCCCTCCAAATATATATATATAAGCCCCCCAAATTCGTCAAGCAAAAACCCCTCCGTTAAATCGCCCCTCCAAATATAAGCCCCCCCTCGGGAGCTTGTACTTGGAAATTGCCCTCAAATACAAAGTAAAACTAAGCAAAATCGGTTAATTTCCTTCCAACTATAAGGGTTAGCCTAATCGATTTGGAAACGTACATTTCCCTCCATAGATAAGCCCCTCCAAAAGGGCCTTTGAAAAATATAAGCCCTGGGGCTTATTTTCGGAATATTACGGGTATAGGCTCCGGAAAACCGCTGAAGGTAATGACTGCGGACGAAAAACAGCGACGAACGGAAGGGAAAGCTTCACTTTCTGAATGCGTCGTCACCCTTTGGGCGACGTTCGTTCCAACCGACCAACAATTGCAATATTTTTCCAGGTTTGAAAAAACACGATCGCATGACGGTAAACAGAGGCGACTTGTCAACGATCGGCTGTAAAATTTTCGCTTCGCTTGCCATCACAAATGATTCCTCTGCGCCCTGTGTTGATCTGTGTTAAATTGTTTCTTCGTTTGTTTTCGTTTTCCTTTGTTTGTTTAGACAGTGAGAAAGACAATGAAAGGGAATTCTAGTGATACGTGTTTTCATATAAGAGTCGTCAACCGCCCCCTCCATGTTTGATGACAAACTAACATCTTATCTTTTTTTTTTTAATTTCTTTCATCCGCATTTTCCAATTTTTTTCACGCGCATTCTCTTTTCAATTTTTTTTTTTTAACTTTTTGTTGCATCCAATTTTTTTCCATCAGCATGATGCTTTACTAGCCTACCGGAGTAAGGTCACTGAGGTTATCATGCTTTGATTTCATTTAACCTCCATGTGAGCCAGTCCGAAGAGTATGGCAGAACTCGACGAGATCTCGTGCATGCAGAGACAATTTTAGCAGCGTGCACTGCGCGCAATACGATTTGTTGTACCAGAATACGGGTGCATGCCCATAGAAAGGCTAAGTATCAGAAGGATGCGAGTTTTAAGCACATTTCCAGCTATTCACCGGTAGTCAAATCACCTAGAATTTTCAATGCCATATAGTTTTTTTTTTATCTACTCTTCATTTGTATCGACTCAATGCAGTGTCAATAGGACCAAACTATGAGTATCGCGTGTAAAGTTTTCTTGGTCTACGTCCTGAGTGATGGAAAGCGGAAGGACAACATAGCCGCAATAAGAAGAGCAGGGAAAGTTATAAGGGCTTGTAGCTGGTTACATTTAATCTTTCCTGCCTCTCTTTATGTGATGTATCAACAAGCACACGTTTTTGTGTGCATGGCACGCGTGCAAATTCTCTGTGAACTAGCAATTACGTACTGAGAGGTCACCAAGCAAACGAAAATGCACGCAATGCAAATGGCTCTGTCAAATGTAACGCTTGCAAAAAGATTTCAAGTAAGCTAAATATTTTCTGTCTGCAAATGTTTTCTTTTTTATTCCATTTGTTTATTTTCTTTTTGTTTTGTTTTGCTTACATTCACGTGCGTTTAATTTACGTCTTCCTCTGTTACTTGTGTCAATTTCCGTTGTCACAGTTGAGATGTTTTTTTTAAAAATACGCCTAAATAGTTTTCCGCTTACACAAATCTCTGGGCGGGGCTTAAAAGTGATGAAAACGAGTAGTAAAAGTCACTTGAATAGGATCTTCAAGAGCCTGACAAAAATTAATATGTCATAAGTTCGCCGTATGAATTTTGTGTTGTATCGAAATTATTATCCAAATATTTCACTACTATTGCAGGGGCGAATGCTATATAAGTTTTATAAACTGGTGACCTTGTTATGTCGACTCATAAAATTATAAGGCTTCGTTTCCGAAACACTGTATCAAATGATACTGAAATTTCAACATTAAAAGTGGTTTAAACCTGAAGCACTTATCCCTCTTGCAGAAAATTTAGGAAAACGTGCAATAGTGACTACATTTGGATCAAAACCTCAGTGAAAGCGGCAGTTTGTGTCACCGCAGGGATCAATTGTATATACAATCAAGAGCCCTGATAAAACTGAAAGATTAAAACGGCGTTAAGCTATTCCGCTATTTATGGATTTCCTGCTCACCATAATGGCAGCGTGTATACATTCTAACACGCAGGAAATAAACTTCGCATTCTGCAAAAAAGGACATGTTTTCGGTTCTTGATGGCTATGGCTGAGCTCACGGTGTCTTGCCGGGACTAGCTATATTGTACTGATTTCCTAGTTCCTAACTTCGTTTGTTCATCAGTAAATGTTATTATAACGAACAGGTAAACTTTTCCACAAAATCAATGTTTTATTAGTAATCAGTCCAAGTATTTTTTTACTTCTTAGTTACTTAGGGCCTCACTTGCTCACTTTTCTAAAACTTTGCTCCTCACTATTCTACAAAAATTTAATGTAGTAAAATCCTAAATAGAAAGAACAAATCAGCAAGAAAAACACATAGATACGTAACTTGGGGTTGATATAACCGTAGTTTTGACTACAAATAAATTATCATTATTTTTCTCTTCCACTGGTCATTAAGAATCAAGATGTTGCATATAATCGCAGACCCCGGCTGCATGGGCGAGTAATGAGTAGGCAGAGATGGGTTATTTACAGGCGAAGAAGAACAGAACTTGTAGGAGAAGAGGACAGGGTCCCTGTACTTACTAGTTACCAAACCAATTTGTAAGACAATCTGACTGGCCAGAAACTGAATAACTACAGGCAGGGATTGGACTAAGTGCCCGGAGGAACTCCCATATAAAAGGGACGGGGATGCTCATTACAAAATCGGAATTAAACCCCAAAGGGAGACCAATCCGAGCTTGGTGCGCAGACTCATATTAAGTTGACTCCAGTAGAGTATGCGACAGTTTCTTTTCGTTTTTGTCACGAGTATTTCCTTAAATGCAACCCTAAAAAGCGGACGAATCCGTTGAACTCGTCCTCAGCGAAAGTGTTAAGTTTATTGGTGAACTTACCGGCTTTCCTGAAACTCCACTTAAACCAAAATCATTTATGTCTATCCTTAAACGATACAATGAGCATTCCCATCACTTTTATATGGTAACCCCCTCGCCCTCACCGGAGACAAAGTGGGAATGGGTTTGTGACCATAAATTTTCAACTTTTAAACAAAGAAAAACTGATCTGAAGGAGCCAAACAATAAACAATTGAAATACTTTCCTGTGAACGTGAGCTTGGAACAAGTGTTGCATAAGAGGTTAGAATTAAGTTACGTATGCCTGATTTTTATCAACACTTTTAATCGGATGACGTATGATTGACTGAGTGATTTTTGGAACTGCAACAATCCTCAAGTTCTTTGCGCTAACTCTTGTTCACTCTTCATTCAAGTGCGATAAGCACGTAACATGTGTTATCTCACAGATAGAGTTATGTTAGTCAAACGAACCTTAACGGGGGGCTTCACTTAATTGTGCTTAGGGAGACACTTACTCCATATTCACTTAAAGAAGTAAACTTATGTAGAATCTACGGGAGAATTCTCTAAATGCGTGACCAAAATCGTATTTTGTTACGCACATATCCATGTTTAGAGAGTATCATGTCCCACATCACACACGTCGTCGCCGTCTATTTATACACGTAAGGCAGTAGGATTACTTTCATACCTATTTAACACCTACGTATGACCTGGAGCACGTACAAGGTGCTTTTTATAAGCGGAAAAGCGTGAAATAATCCAGCGAAAGAATAGTCAGGGTGCGAAGGCATCAATAACAGGAACAATACTGAGACAAGTCTCGAACTCTTGGACTAAGATAGAGTTGCCTAGCACGTTGCAGTTTGGAAGAAAACAAGTAACGATGGCTTTGAGCTCAGAAAAGATGAACAGTTTGCTATTGAGTCTTCCATGCGGATATTCTGGTAGTCTACGGAGCATTGGCTCAAACAATTCATCCGTCATTTCCTCCCTTGGGGAGGTTCACAGCAACCCGACATTCGATAGCGCCGAGCATAGCGACGACAGCTCGAGTGAACGCCATGAATATGAAAGCATTGCAAATAGAACTAATGCTGGACCGAGGAGAAAAACGAATTTGCTTTACGAAGAGATGCGGCCCTCACCAACTCTTCCCCTACGCTCAAAACACACTACTGAATCGGACCGCTCAAGTAGAGGATCGTCAACCTCCTCTGCGGACTCTGTACCCAAGAAAGGCGATACACCTATCAGCAAGACTGCGCTGTATACTCTTCTATTGACTATTCTCGCTATTTCCCTTGCTGCGTTAGCTCTGGTGGTTCTTATAATTGCTGGCCCATTGAAACCTAAATGTGGATGCACAGAGAGTGGCTCGACTAGTCCCCCCCTGACAGAAATGGGCAGTGTATCAGTGCAGAACTTACTGCGCACCATTCAAGATTTAGAAAAAAGTGTAAAGTCGTTGAAAGACATGAAAACTGAGATGGAAGACCGACAGAATGCTACAAACTCACTTGTTACAAAACTTGAAAATCAGGTCGGATCGCTACAAAAACAAGTTTCTAAACAAGCAAAGTTACTCAATAACACTGCGAACAAGATCGCCTTTGTCGACGGTTCAGCTGAGCAAAAACTGGACACAAAGATCAAAAATTTAAACAATGAGTTGACGTCGAAAGTAAACGAACTGCGACAAAATCACAGCCAGGCCAAGATAATCAGTAATCTTTTGAAGGCAAACGTGGCGCAACTCAATTCAAGCGTCCTGGAACTGAAAGCATTCAGCGGTAACGTGAGCACAAGGACCGGGAACCTGGAGCAAAGATACGCACAAGTGAGTACTGTGATAAAAACGCTGACTGAAGTAAATGAGGCGCAGAACTCTACCCATGAAGCTCTTCGGTTGTATTTAACGACGTTGAAAAACTCAATAGTGACAGTTAATGCAACATTAAATAAGGAAAAACTCGGCAGTGCTTGCGAACACAACCTTATTAGAGGAACACCAGTTTCCTCTCGTGGCGCCGGGGTAGATGCATCAGTTTCTTACAACCAACGACCAGGTTATCAAGTGGTGGGGATAGCGTGTTCTACTGATTATGCGCAAGAATTTAAGCTTAATTCACCTCAGAAAGGACTTTATGTGTGTACATGTCGCGGGATAGCTCACAGTGCTGCTAACATCAATCCTTCAGTAATACATTGTAAAATGCACGTGTGGGAATGTCCCATACGCAGGTGACGTTTTACGTACGAACGAGGCTCTGAACAGGGGGAGATACCAATAAGTCATCTCAGAAAATTGTCCGTATTCAGATCGAACAACACGACCGCCCATTAAAGAAGGAGAGAAATTTCTGTCACTCATTGAATACACTTTTTGTCCTTTTTGAGTAATTAGCAGCAGTTAATCTTCAAGTACAGTCATTACTCAACAAGTCAAGTGTTGGCAGAATTAGCTGACAGACGAGAGAGAAACTGCCTCAAATAGCGCCGCATTCATAATATGCGTAGAGTGCTAAAGTTTTAAGAACTGAATCAAAATTAGAATCTCTCCCTTGTAGCACCCGAGCATAGCGGTGCAGTACTTCTGAGTATTAATAATTTAACATTAAGTGCGGCTAGGGATAAGAACCTCAGTACCTCCAATTCAATGGATCCTTGATAGAACACAGCGCTATTGTTTCAGTACTAGGGTCCATTGTTATTATTTTCTGTTTATAGCTGTTTATTGTTTCCTCAGCCGATGATAAGCCAGCTGGAACATCTCAAATGGCCATTCAGTTCACAAGCAATTTGTTGTTGTTATTTTTAATGAATTTGTTTAATCTAGACTTCGATCATGTTAGCTGGAACCAACGTTTCAAACCAAGAAGCAAAGGCAAAGAACACTGCGCAAATAAACATATATTTTGTTACAGATCAGAAAATCAATGGCAAAAAAGAAGAAAAGCAACCAAAAAAAAAAAACAAAAACAAAACAAAACGTGATTCCAACAAGTTTAAGACATTAAAATGAAATGACGTTGACTGTTCATTCAGTTGATTTACAAATCACAGATTGCCTCAATGGAGAAGTACTGGTACAATTTGAACTCAAAATCTTCAGGTTTTTGACTTGTGCATCTATGTCACATTTCGAATTACGATAACAACTGTATCTACAAGCATTTGGAATGTCTGCAGTTTATATTAGTGGGATGACTATGTAAGATAGATAAGTTCATTATTCACCTTTTGAAAATGACTTTTTCAACAAAATTGTCTGGTTGGTATTTATCTGGCCTTTTAAATGCTTCTACTTTGCCTTTTTCTATCATTTTTCTATCTATCTCATATCAACATCACGCCAAACTGGACCCTTCTTAGCATTTTTAACAGTTTTTACGAACAAACATTATGAACATCATCATCATCATTATCATTAATTTTTATTATTTCATTTTTTCACGACAAGGACATCAAAGTCTTCTATGATAAATTATCCGTAACGGAAATTAATAGATATTAAGTCTGCCATATTTGATTGTGGCAGAAAACAATGATAGCAACGAAAAATTATTACATTTTGAAAAAAAATAACGTTTAGCATTTTTATATAATATAGGCAAAGTACATTAATAGATTAATGAATTGAATTATTTATAATTATTACGAGATGCATGTTTGTTAATTTTAGGCTAATAGTTCAAGACTTTTACTTAGTTGAAGTGAGATTTCTGCTTTTAAGACCCATCTTTATTTTAACAGTGAACATTTATTTTCTGAGAATTGTATCACTCTTTAACTGTAACCGTCTTTCGGTGAAATAATATATAGTGTTGGAAGCGATTTTTCACCATGGTTGATTGTACAATATTCCAATAGAGTTAAAATAAAAAAATTTTGTAAACGTCTTGCGTTGTCTGGAATGTCACAGTGGGTTTGACTACGTACAGTCATTTCCATACCGCTTAGATGTGTTTAAGCCTGGTTTCCAGATGATCGCTACATTGTGGAGAAACGCCTTGCGACTTGAACGACACAGTTCAAAACAGTCAGTTCAGGGCCCAGTTGTTCGAAGCCCGATTAGCGCTTAACCGGGGGTTAAATTTAACCCGGGTTTCCTTTTCTTGTGTTCAAAAGCATTTTCTCGGATAATTTTGTCTGTTGTTTTTAGAGCCTCCAATCATCAACTTGTAGAAAAAAAGAATTAAAACTGAAATGCTTTTTAAGCTTTCAAATCTGAATTCAAATCTCGCACTAACCCTGGGTTATCTTAACCCAGCTTTGAACAACTCGGTCAGTTCATTATTTTAGGCTGGGTAAATAATAAAGCACCAGGTTAAAAACTTTAACTCATGGAGTCCGCTTTCAACACATTTAAGCCCAAAACACTTCTCGTAACCACAACTGTTCCTGATGTTAAATCGAAATTTATCATAATTTGCCAGTGGATTGTTAACCAAAACTTCAATTTTTGACCCATCCTCTAAGGGAAAGCAGAACCTTTTAGCGAACCCCCCACCCCCTCCACCTCTTCCAAATAAATCATTCCATATTTCACCCTCTGCAAGCTGAGGTTATAGTTATCATTTAAATATTGATACTTTGGGCAAGCAAACAATGTAACAAACCAAACTGGGGCATATCTAGCTTTAGTGTTAGGAGGTTATAAAGGAAGAACTCCAACCTTTAGCATCGCAGACTATCTCGTGGGGTTAGGGGTAGGCTCTTCTCTACTAATCCGCTCCTGCCTCTGGTAAGTGTTAAAAAAGTTTGTCCTCTGAAATGTGTTTTGTAGCATCCTGAAGGGCAAATAAAAGAGCTCCAATTGTTGAAATTTCAACTTCTTTCCCCTCTCTCGAGAACCACACATTTCTTTGCCCACCTAGAGCCAGTTCACCAGCTCCCTCCGTCGGCTCTGTTGATAAATAAAGAGCAAAACACAAAATAGAACTGAGTTCAATCTTAGCAAACGTTGTCTCACGAGCTTGTGTTTGGCCCTCACGTATTATAACGACTACAAGAATAACATGCTATACAACATCTGATCTTTTTTGGTTGCCTTGCATCTTTTATTGCGTCAAGATCCTTTATCTGGTACAAGAAAAGCTTTTATAGCATAAAAAATCGTTCTTTTCGATACGGAAAACAAGGTCAATCGAACTTGATTGGTTCTAACTGATACAGACGTACCTAACATTGCAGCAAAAAGGGATCCGCAAAGATACGAGAGAAAACGTGTTTTGGTCACGAGTTACAATTCTTTCCTTAATACAGAGCAAAAAATTCCAAACCATACAAGTGATCTATTTTATAGACGTACAAGAACAACTAAGATCAAGCAAAATCGAGAAAAAGGGAAATAAGATGAAGTAGTACGAAGGCAAGATGGTTAGTTTTAGAACTCTTGGTCATCGGGATAAGAGATTGAAGAATCTTCAGTTGGCATTTCCGTGATGTCGGCAGAGAGGGACACCCTCCTCGGGGTGTTGGGTGTGGCCTTGTTGGGGGGAGCTGTTCGGACTGTGGAAACCGGTGCTTGCATGGTACTGACTTGAGGAACAAAGTTCATGAGTTGTGATGGTCCGTATGCTTTACACCACATGGTGGACATTGCTTGCTGAGAGTACTGCATTCCTAATAACAAAATGTCACAAGCAGTCAATCGTGGGATAATTAACATTTCCTGACCTTTCCCCGTATACAGCTTTATAAATAGCCTGTTCCAGGCGTTCAGATAGTAAAGCGCGGTCAAAAAATTGACGAAAAAAAAAGCAAAAAGGAGAGACTCAATTCTCCCCTCGTTTGTTCCCCCTCGTTTCCTCCGCGTACGATTTATCTCGCTGCCCGCCACCCGAACACCGCACTCTACTATATCTCAACGCCTGGAAAAGGCTACTTCATGCAGTGCGGTTGGCTGGCGCTAACTATATAGTACTTTTCTTAGTCTTAGTCGCGCTATACGTGAAACTGAATTATACAAAACGGAACTTAGATACTTGCATCTACGTGCCTCTGGGCGGGCAAGTTGGACTCGATAAAGGAAACGAAGACTGTAATTAAATATATTAAAAAGTCAAGCTGTTACCATGTGCTTGTGCATGCGCCCGCGAAGACAATCACAACAAGTTCTAACTTTTATCCTACTGAAGCGGGCAAACGAAAGGCTAGAATCAAAAGATAATGCCTTCAGGTGAACGATCGTCTTCACAATCTCACAGTTGTGCGCAAAGCTTCAATTTTCGGCCAAATGTTCATTTGTCTAACAATCTATCACTCTCGGGCATTACACTACGACACTGCAGCCACCAGAGTGGATTTAATTAACATATAGATTTAGCCTGGGCTAAAAGCGAAGCTCTCGATAATATTTACAGTTTGTTCACACAAAATATAAAATCGTGTAATGCTAAGCGGTTAAGGCATGCAACGCCGGAAAAAGGTGAAAAACAACAATAGGTCTAATTAGCAAAAGCAACTTTGCACGTGTAGCACACTTTTTTGTACATTTCTTTGCTTTTGTTTGCACGACTAAAACGTGAAACTTCCAGAAACGTCTTAGTTACACGTTTTATGGAGGAAATGTCGTATGTGTTCCCGTTCACCTTTTTTCACTGCCGCTCATTTTCACCTTGCATTGGTGGCCGCTAGCATTTCTCCCTTTTTCACCGCCGCTACAAAATTTTCATGTTATTCTTCCAACAAAAAAATGTCTCCTTTGTTTTTTATCTCTCGCTCTAAATCCCTGTAGCCCTTTTTCTCGTTGAGCTTCGCTGGCCTGCCGCCCACTTTCTCTTTTTCTCTGTCTTTCTCTTGCTCTATATTCCAGATTTGTGGACATGACAATTTATCTAAGCTTAATAATTTAGACAACACGGACGCAGAAACAATTAGCGCTTTCCGTTTTCGTCTTTATCGACTCTTTCGTTGTCTCTGCTTGACAAGACGCCGGTGGCTATGCGATTTCCCGCCAAAATAACCTCGAGTTGGGTTGCCATACCTGTTGATTGAGTTATTTTACATTGGTAGGCTTGTGGTGCGGACGGACGGTCTCTCGGGAGGACGGTGTACGGTCACGTGATTACCAAATTTTCTCGGATGGGTAGATTACTTCATTTTCTTACCCATGGTGCTCCGCTGGCGCGCTTCGCGCGCGAGAGCTCCGCTATAAAGTATGCTTACCAGGGGCTGCCAATCGCATCTGCATGTTAGATTGCCGCTGTCCCATGTGAATTGTGGACTGTCTTTGTCCCATATGCATTGCTGACGGCCGCTGTCCCATGTGCATCGCGGACTGTCTCTGTCCCATGTGTATTGTGGACTGCCTTTGACCCATGTGCATTGTGGACTGCACTTGTCCAGGGTAATCCATCATGGGAAGATCTGTAACATTTGCAACAATAAATGAGTTAAACTTCAAGATCAACTTGCTTATAGGGGGCTCAGAAAAAAAGGCAAAAACCTGTAACTACCTGGGCTTAACCAACTTCCCCTCCCATGACATAAAAAAAACAGAGGTGGCTTTAAGGTCAGCGGAAGCTGATATTACATGCAGTTAATTTATTGAAATTACCAATACACAGTCGAGGTGAGTGCTCATGTGACGTTGGATGATTTAGGGTCGTAAAGGCCAACTACAGTATGTTCGATCTTATGTACATAGGTATAATTCCCCTTATTAAAGCAGACGCCGTCCTCAAGTCTGTGTCCGTAAAACTGTCATTTCTACTTATTCTACGTTAAATCTTGAATGACCTAATATATTGTTTGAAGGGAAATGATGAATTTCCGCCCGAGTACCACGTATACCAACCTGGCTCGAACATGTCCAAATCATCTAAGTCGACATTCCATTTGTTCTTTCTCTTACACAGACAACAGATGATGATGATAATAATTAATATACCGCCTCCCACACCACTACCAGCAGCAACAAGAGTCGTCACGCTTAACTCCAAACCGACAAGTTTGAACGATCGAGAATGTTGTTTCGTCTTTCTCGGTTTGAGCGGAAGTAGAAATGGATTTGGTCGTCCTAATTCGCCACCAAAACACTCTTTATCCTTTTTACATCTGGGATGCTCTAGAAGTGATCCATCCGTCATCTTTTTATGGCACCAGACGCAGCCAAAGATCTCGTTACAGTCATGTTTGGACTTGTATTGAGCGCAGTTGATTCTGATGCATTCGCCTATATCGTCTGGGTGTGCTGAGAGGGGCCAACGAGGATTTAAGGGTGGCGATCCTGGGGCACAAACTGGGAGGTCACTGAAAAGGATTCAAGCAATATAAGCAATGGAACCGTACAGAAGGTGGGACCAGCGTCATAAGAGACCCGCCTATTTGAACAGGACAGAAAGTTTCAGTTTAATGTTAATTAATTCTTTTTGTTTTTCCTTGTATAGATGGGACTATAAAAAAAACGCAACCTTAGCCTAAAGTAAAAGGCAGCCAAGCTAGAAAAGTTGTCGGATTAAACAAACCGCGTTTTCCCAATAGAATTAGAAAAAAGCCAACTAACCAAAAACGGTTAACGCCAATACAACACCACCTCACTTGTCTTTTTACTTACCTTTCACCAGTGACGTTGGCGTTGCAGATGTCATACTTCAAGCGGCCTTTGCAAGGACACTCGCAAAACTGGTCGCTGGTTGACTTACAGATATCATCGCAAGGACAAGTCATTACATTGGTGAGGCAGATTTCTGCTTCTACCTGAACTACAAAAACGTTTGTATTTCGTAGCTTGGCAATTTCGTAAGACTCGCAACCTTTCTTTGTGGTCTTGCCTTTGAAGCTTTCGTCGTCCAAAGTAATCTAATTTTTCAGAATAAACGGCACAGGATTACAACTACCACGTATAGAGTCGAATATGAATTCGATTATAATTAAGATTTCATTTCATAACATGCAAAACTTAATCATACCTCACCCTGTTAATCTTTAACTTATACGTTGAAGTCATTTTCATTGTTTACTGGAATTTAAAGGCCATCTGTATAGCCCTACACGGATAAATGTCTATCGTTTCACTTCCAGTTACGTGCATAAGTAGTACGGGCGTGCGTATAACCGGGAACACTTTCGTATACATTGTATGCCATACGCACCTGTGGTACATGGTTACAAAAAACTGTTGTCTCGTACACCTCAATCCTATTTCTTTCTCTTTACTACACGTTCAGTACCTCGTAAAATCGTTGAAGTTTTAAGAGATTAAAATTCTGGCATGCCCGCCTCCTCATGACTTTGTTCTTGATCAGATCCTGTGCAATGGCACCATCCATCTCAGTGATATGTTTGCTGACAATCTAAAATTTAAAAACAAATACTTATTGTACGATGAACGCTAACGAAAGACCGTTACGAAATGAAAACAGAAGGCATGGTTTTATGCTTCTCTGTAATGCCGCCTATGCTCCAGTTGTTCAAAAAGTGGATAACGCTATCCATTGGATAGCTCAATTGGTTTCCCCAATACTTATCCGCTGGATGGGATTCATCTGGTGGATAGACAGCGGTACCCAACCGTTTGAACAATCGAGCCCTGGTCATGCTAGCCAGTCACCGAGGGAATAGCAAACAAGTCGGAAACAAAACTCAGCATACAAGGAAACATTCCCTCATTTTTGTCGGCTGGTATTAATTCGATACGAGGCAACTTCAGATCCCAGGTTGTACACATTTTAAAACAGTTCAGATTGCTTAGTCGTTGGGCCTGGTTTTACCATGTCTGAAGGGCACATTCCAATTCGCGTCTCTCATCAATCTTTTCACTGCTTCGAAGTCCATAAAATTTTATTAGATAAAGAAAAAAACAACAACCAAATAAATATACATATAAAAAAAAATAATGATTTAGACGTAGCACGTTCATGTGGAGGTTCTTCGTCTACCATTCCTGGTCGAATTAGGGGAAAACCTTAGTACCCGGAGTAAACCTCTCGATGCAAAGGACAGAACCAATAACAACCTCAACCCACATAATTTGTATGGCGTCGACACCGATACTTTGGTGCGAAGCGAAGGCACTCACCACTGCGCCACCCTTGCACCCCTCCTACTTTTTTAGAGGCTTTGTCTCGGCCGTACCTTGCTTGAGTCATTAAAGACATTTTCAAAGTTGGGGTGGTAAACAATGTAACCACTATTGTCCATCAGGAAGCATCTCATCCCGGCATTTTTGCAGTTTGTTCCTATTTTCTTTGCCAATATTGCACCGAGACTTGACACGGCAAGATCTCCTCCAACAACACCGAACAGCTTCTCTAACGAACGTTTGTTATTAAATTTTGTTTTTAGGGAATGACTGATTGAGACGATGAATCCTGCTCCCAAGGGGTCTAGGTAGGGTGGTGTTAGGGTGACTACATCCTTGTTCGCGGCTGCGGAAATGAACCTAAAAGAAAACAAGGGATAAGATCAGGTAAAGGACTTTTTACAGCCATCTTTTAGTATAATTATAAAATATCCCATGACATTTTCTGGAGGCCTTCAAAAGGTAGCCGTCATAACAAATGTAGCACAAGAACACCGTCTGAAAAGAATAGGGGAAACAATGCAAGACAACGGCCACGAGTGACGATGAGGCATGTGGACAAATTTCATTTACCAGAAAATTTGAGTGGTCGTGATAAAATTTAAATGCCTATCAAGCTTTCATCCATGAAACATCATAAGCCTAACTATTTGTTACCTTTACGACACGAAATTACTTTATGTTTATAAAAACTCTATTTACATAATCTAACTATTTCCCGCTTTGGGGGGAGCGCACTTTCAATGATGTTGTCTTACCATGGCCGCGTCACATGATCAAAATTCGCAGGCAGCGGTGCACCCGGAAAAATGCGCAGAACGCCATTGCAGGTTCCAATATAACGACGCACAAGTCTGGTGGTAAATGATTTGTAGTTTTCGGATCCCCACACGGCGTTTTCGATATGTGAAGTGAACAATGCCACCTGGGGAGAAAATTATAAAATGTGTGAATGCTCGTTATGGCAGCCTCGTTTGCATGCAGAGCAAAAAGTCTTGTAAAGCAGTGTTGAAACTGGTTATGTAGTCGCACTGACATAATTTTGGATCCTGAAACTGTCGAGATATGGGAATTCTAAATGAAGGTAAGGACGTTATGAACGAGTTTGAATGAGTAATAAAATAATTGAAAAATTAACAGAATTCTGTCGGCAATACTGTGACACACATGAATTATGTTCAAAGGGACAATCTGTAATGCGCATGTGAAGCCCCAACAATGTTGGAAGGGCTATGCAAACAGATCCAACATTGTTACGCTTCCAACCTCACTTCCAGCTCTCACAACAATATGCAGCATTCCGTGCACACGAACACAAAATGTAACACCAAACAATGTTGGGGTTGTTGGCGCAATAACGCTGCGTCCGTTTGCACGGAGCTCAACATTCTTTTCGATCGCCTTCATTCTTCATATCGTACTCAGCCTTATGTGACCCAATAATTCTTATTCATTGTTTGTAACTTCGTAAAGTCGTTTGTAGTAAATGTTTTAAATGATTCAAAAAAAGCCGTGACGGTGGTGGTGGTGGTGGTAGCATTAATGTCGGTAGTAGGTTTTGAAGTAGCACGTTACATGTGAAGACCAATAGGGGGCGCGTCTTCTTCTGTCGCATTTGGTTTGTTTAGTAATTATTCCTTTTTCTTTTGTAGTTATCACTGCTTTGTTTTGTTTTTCAATTAATTTGCGGATTAAATTTCTAACAGATCATGAGTCAGCATCTACATGAGGGTAATGATCGTTGTCATTGTATATTGTACGCACCATTCAATTAAATTTATTTATCATCATCGGGCTGTTAAAGAAACACACCTTTGAAATATCTTCATTCAAGACGCTATCCTGTATCTCACGCCCTAGTATTCCTTTCATTAATTGCTTTGAATAGCGTCGAACAGCACCTGGACTGTCTTCTTCCTCAAAATAGCCAGAGGGATCCTTAAATGCTTTAGCGCTCAACTGAATAACGGAGCGATCTAGAAAAGTCAATAGTAAGTTCACTCCAGTATAACTATAAAGGACTTAGGAAGTAACGAATCTCTAATGACATTTAGCAAAATCCAACTAGTGGTCTATTACCAATGCTGCGTTCTGAATGGTTGAGCTACTACTAGCCTATATGTTATAGCACACTAGTAGCGAAAAGCGCCGGCTTTGAAAACCAAAACAATGGCGGCTGAACCGCGTTCTGCTAGCTAAAATTGTATTGTATCGATATTTTTGACCAACTAGTTGGATTTTACTAAAACAATTATTCCTCTCGCCCTCATGGCCTCTAAGTCAATAGCCCATACGGCACTTCGGCCTCATGGGCTATTGACTCAGAGCCCATTCGGGCTCGAGGAATAATTGTCAAGTATTAGCCTTTTTAGAAACGAGAAGGGAACTGGAGCCGAAATGCGTCCCGCAATTGTTTGTAGGATGGTTACTGAGGACGCGCCGATCAGCTATTGGACAATTTTTTCCTGTCCCTAGAAACAGTCCCAGAAGTCTTCGCGAAAGTTAACTTGGCTGTTTTTCCCTCTCGTTTCTAAAATGGCGAATGCCAACACTCAAACAAACCAAAATGAAGTATCAATGAATCCGTAAAGAACCCGTCTTATTGGGGTATAGGACACAAATTAGGCGAGCGGACAGCGAATTAACCTCAGCGTGGTTCGGAATACACCGCTAGCTGATATTATTTTTCGTTTTTTTAAAGGCTACTATCCTAAGTGAAACAGGAGAGAAGGTTTCGCACAAGCAACCCGCCTGTTAGAAACCAGCCAACACTATAGCTGGCATTTTGCCACCCATTTTCCAGAAGACAAGGTATCCCAATAAGAGCGATGAAGTCCTCCTTGGTGAAGTACAAGGCAAAAAGCTAGCAAGAGAACAAGTAAAGTAACCCCAGCGTGGCTCAGAGCAAAGCGCTGGTCGATATTATTTTTCGTCTTTTCAAAGGCTATCATTCTGATTTTGCTTAGCATTGTCCCACAAGCAAACCTGCTAGTTTGAGACCAGCCAACACCACAGTTTCCCTTTTACTGGCGTACCTGCATAAGACAATGTGTCGGTGTGGTAACAGGTCTTGGCTTCTGGTAACACATCCATGCGGTGATAGGTAACTGGGTGGGAAGAGGCACCCAAAGCTGTGAAAAAATAAATAGATTCAGCTGAATTCAATCTTTACATATGATGTTCTTCAAACAGTTGAGAAAGGCCTATAATAATGATGGTTCTGTCGTTCAATTTAATGCTCGGACGCTTATTTAAATTCAGTATGGGGGAATAGAGGTTGAGGAGAGTTAAGGCGAAAAATGGCTCTTCTTTGAATTTATGACTTTTTTATTTACTTTAGCATAAGCAACAAGGCTGGAGCTTATCATGTGGTAGAAACAGCGTCTGTTTACAAAACATTTTCAAGTTGCAGTAATCATATTATTTGAGATAAATTTCTTTACAACGATGCTGATAAATGGTTGTTGTTCAACATCTGTAAATTGTGTTTTAAGGGAACGAGAAGCGGTGAAATGGTCGTTATTAGAAGAGGGCAGCTAAAGGGCGCTTATTTGAAGTTAGTCGCAAACGTGACTCTAGTCTCCGTTCTTGCTCGTCTAAAAGTTAAAAAAAGGCCCAGCGTTAGGCATAAATAATTTTGCAGGCCACATCTCAGTGGCGAATCCAGATCTTCAGATAAAAGGGGGAGGGGTGGGTCTCCAAAAAACATTTTTCGGCCCTTCGGGCCCCTCTCCTGGATCCGCCACTGTATCAGAAGTAAACAATGATGCTTGCAAATTTCAGCCAGAAGAAGACCTGTTTACAACTCGGTGTTTGGTGAAGACTATTTTGATCGAGGGACTATTCAGGTTCGTATCGAAATTGGATAGAAAACCACTTAAATGACTACCATTACTGTTATGCAGGTGTAAAGCTTAAAGGTTACGGATGTTAGTAAAATGATCAATAGTAAAAAGAAAAAAACCCACCTATTCCATCGTGTTTAAATAAATAGGAGTGATCATTTTTTTCCATGGCAATACACACAGTGTATTCCTTCATTCCAACTTCAAGGGGCTGACAATGATAAGTGAAATCCACTGTCACATTCATCACACCATTTCCTAATGATCCTCCCCTTGGCAAGTAATGCTGTTTCTCAAATATGTCCTTTTGTATTGGTTGACTGAAAATGAAAAGAGTGGTATGGAAATCGCGCTCGTCTGTAGCACGTCCTCATACACAGGCTGTAACATTGGTCTCACTCAATTATGAACAGAAGAAAGGAAGGGGGAATCACCACCGTGGCAGTGGTACTCTGGCTAACCGATCCTGCATAGTTGATTAGCTTTGATTCTGCCTGAATTCCTCCTAGCGTTACTAACGGCTACAAAAACTTGACTCTCACTGAGAGAGGTAGTGCTTCGTGTGGTAGCAATAAAATGAAAAATCTTCTTTTGCCACATCGCACTTCATTGTGGTTTGATATAATGTTGGAAAACTCTACCCACAATCACTTGATTCGCACTGAGCAACTAAAAAGGGCTGGCATTTTTGTGCTTCAGTTCCCAACCGATTCAGTGCCTTACTTCTTTTTGAAATTTACCCTCTCTCTATTGATCTGACTCTGGGACTGAATGGATTAACAGAGACATACCCTGCCGCTGACTCCTGAACTTCCGCAAACAGGTCCTTGAATTCTTTCCCTTCTTCAAGCTCCAGTATATTCACAGCATTGGGATCTTCAGTGATAGACTCTGGTGTTGGTAATTTCGGATGACTCAGTGTTATTCCAGTTCTGGTGTGAAACAGAAATGCGTAGGACTTGGAGCCAGCGCCTTTCGAAAAATACTGGACATTGGATATCAGGTCTGTCATGGGAATATCCACTCCGACTACACCTTGAAGCTTGTTGTCTTTCAAAACAGCACTGGCCGCTGTTATCATATAACCTGTTCAAAGAAGGGCCTCTGAGAAGTTTCTTTATTTCAATGCAGGTTTTTATTTTCCACTTTTTATTTTTTCTAGTGTAACGAAAGGTATTTTACGCAGTAAGTACCTTGATCGAAGGTCAAACCAAACCAAACTAACTTTAGTCGCCAAGAACTGCCAATTCTTGTAATATTTTGGCATTAAGTGCCATTAGCTGTCCAATTATGAGGGGATGAATTTGTCCAAACGTTTAAAAAGGTTAAGAGTGGGGGTTATCAGAGGTCTTTCCAGGATAATCATCTGAGGAATAATACGTCTGGAAAGGATGAACAGTGATGCATACAGTGCTGTCATTTGCCAGAGAATGTAATCTAACGGCCGCTTAGCTGTCACAAGATGATATTCAATTTGACTGGTGTTAAGTTGGCCAGTTAAACGATGTAAGTTATATTGGCTCTTGATACTTTTTAAAGTTAATGGGTGACCATGATTGACTCGAGTGTCTTCGGATTGGTTCTTTCTGAATCAATTAGTCAATGACACCTCCTCACATCTAACGCAACTTTAAAATAAAATTAATAATATCTGATTTGTATTGGCCGGAGCCTCAGCTCAAACGCTTGGTAAATTATGTTGACATTTATAAATTAAGCGTGCAGTTAAGATAAGTAATGAGCGAGTGTGCAAGGTACCAGTCCACCAAGTACACCTCTAATTTTCCTCCAGTCGTTAAAGAAACGTCAAGCGTTCGTACCTAGTCCCCACGCATCCACATAAGGAGGACAGAACACAACGTCATTGGTGCCAGCTGGAGTAACTTTCGTCAGATAGTCAAAATATGGTTTCAACTTGGAATAAGTGTCCGAGTTGCGATGGGCCGACATGAATAATCCATTCTGTTAAAAAGAAACAAACAATGTGACTGTAATAAAGGAAACAAATAAATAGAGGAAATTATAACTTTATACACAATAGCAGAGAAGTTGCCCGGTTACTAGGCCCCGTAATGTGAAATCCTTCCTTGAAATTATGCTTGATAGGCCTTATAAAAAGCTAAGCTCTGAGAATAAGCCATTTCCAAGTTTCCCCAGGCCTCTGTATCAAAACAAGGTTAAGTGCTCAGCCTTTGATATGGAAATGGTATTTCATTCTTATGCAAACAAAACTTTTTTCACAAGAAAGGTTGTGCATTTGGCCTCATTTTGAAAGAGAGGGGGGTTTTTGGAACTTGGAAGTAGCCTATCGAGGAATCAAATTTCAGTAGAGATGGTCATAGCTGAGAGGAGAAGCAGAAAGGAATACACACCAACATACCCCACTCCCCCACCCTACAAACTTCCTATTATGAAAAGAAACTGAAGAGACCCAAGGTTTTTCATAGTAGATATTTAAAACACCTATACTTTACTCCATCGGTTAGTTTTGAGATGTCCTCCGAAAAATGTCTTAGGCGTTGGAAGGGATTCAGTTTATATACCAGTAAACTGAATGTCTAAATTCAACCTCATTCCCTCACCGTAGCGGAAGTAAGCTTATGCAAGAATTCATTGTGTTTCTTCTCGACTCCAAAACTCAGTGTCATAAGTTTAAAGCTGGTTTTCTTAAATTTATCTCGAAACATCTCGACTTCCTCTTTCACAGCTTCCACTATGGCATCTTCAACCAGACTTGTCTTTCGACCTCCGTCCGTGAGAAGAAGAATCATAGAGGGCCTGGTGACAATCGACTGCGATGAAGTGTTAAAGGTATGTTTGAGAATCTGAAAGGCTCTTTTGAAGGCCTTGATGAACCGAGTGCCACCTAGTTAGACATGATAAAGTTGATTAGTTTAAATACAAGTTAATCAGTTTTCCAAAGGAGGAACGATCCCGCCATTTCAGGCCAAGTCAGCACTTTGCAAACGATCAGAATTGCTTCAAACTTAAGAGCAACGGAAAAGAAACACAGATAAGACAAAAAGGGGCATGAACGGGAAAACGGGAGAAAAATAAAACGGACTTCAATCAGGTGAGCTCGACACGCTTTTTTAACAAATTAAAAATTTTCAACTGTCTATATTTGTTATGTTGCGAAATACCATGACCCACCCCCTTTAATAAGATTGACTAATTTATGATGACATTGTCTTGAAATAGTCAACGACCCCTCACAAATTATGAAGTTCTCCTGAGAGCAAGTAAAGATCTAAAAGCTTGAAGGCGGCTATTGAGACAAAAGCATACAGTTGGTATACCTCGCTTTTTCTAACCTTTTGGTTGTGCGCCTTTTAGGAAAGACTTAAAGTATCTGACGTTAAACGTTCCGGCGTAGGCCATGGTTGAGTGATAACAATCATCTGTGTTTTGGTCGCCAGGAAGAAATGTCGAAACGTTGAAAAGGATGACAGATACCTGAAAGTTCAATGAAATAATCACGGATTAGGTTCCATTTACAGTGGCTGTCAGAACGAAACTTGGTCTGGTATGACAGTTGATGTAAATATTTCAGGCGATTGGATTCTGAACCAGCACATGATGTAGCTATAATTCTCGGTCAAATACTGGGAGGGGACATTTATTCCAAAAGGGACGGTTTGCAAATTTTAATTTTTCCTTTTAACAAACTAAAAAAAAGACCAGAAAATGGTTTTGCTACGCCTTGAAACTTTTCGTTACTTTGAAGGGACGCGGTCAAAATATGGAAAAAATTAACACATATGCAGAGAGCACTACCATTGCAGTCAACGGTTTCATGTAAAGAAAGAAGGAAAACGTTTCTTGTGACGTCTTGACTAAGTGAGGGAGAGGCAAAGCGGACACTGTTCTCTTCGTGTGTTTAAGGGAGTGGGTGCTAACTTGGAGACGATTTTACAGCATATCTAGTTAATCAAATCCAGGTTACCTTATCTTCGGGGTTAAGTGTGGTCAGTACAATTTCCGAGGTACGTATAGCAGCTTCCAAGTTGCCATTAAAACCCATTGACGTACTACAGTCCAGTAGTATTATGATATTCTTAGGTGACGGTGTTGCAGTGGTGACGTACCAAGGTCTCAGTCTGTTGTCATAGCTATCACAGTCAGAAACACTGGCACCTGGATAGCCGGCAAGAACTCCTTCCGCTGACCCATAATACTGCCACCTCACCTTTAAAGATGACTACAGAGCACAATACAAAACATGTCAGCAGTGGAATACATTCTTTTGAGGGAAGTAACCGAAAAACAATCAACTCCAGTTACTGCTGCAGGACCTTGGGACTAACAGGTACAGTTAGTGTGTCCGTAATCAAGTAGATAACAGGTGGTGTGCGCACTAAGATCGCAATAGAGACCTTAAGATACGCCGTTTCCGTGTACGGGGACGTAAAAGTTACCCACAGGCGCAGTTGTAAATACGGGGTAGACTGCCTGTTACCGGGAGAAACCAACGGCTACGCTACCGGGTAGAACGGTAACGCCATTATCACTTCTGGGAAATCATGATTGCCTTTTAGACAACTACTTGGCAAACATGTTCGTCTACCCATACCCGTAGGCAGAAACGGTGTATCTTTAGGTCACTAAAGTATTATCTAACCCAAATTCCATCATGGCCGACACCAGGTAATAGCGGGGTTTGTGCGCGATGACGTAAGAGTTTAGGAGCGCGCTAGGCCTTCTGGGAGAGATCCGAAAACGTGTTGCGTTCTTGTAGCCATCTTGACGATCTGTGAACCTTTAGTGAATTGAATCTGTGGAATCCTGTGTAATCCTTTAGAAGTTGGACCCTTCGGAGTGTTGTAACCTTTAGGAATCGAGCCTGACAATCCTTGGAATAAAATACAGTTCATATTCGCCTACATGGTCCATCGTTAGCCGGATAAAAGCGGATGCTACGTACCAGTTGTGAGTGAAGTTGTGTTGTGTTATGGCCGAAGAACTCGCCAGAAAGCGACGGTAGCGTGCAGGGCACAGGTCAAGTGCGAAACGTATTATTTCATCCGTTATTGATGTCCTTGGAGGAGGAGACATTTCTCAAGTGCGGGAACACGAAATCAAGCTGAAACAACAAAGGGACAGCCTACAGCAGAAACTCAATACTCTTCGGCAACTTGATGCAGAAATTCTTGACCTTGTGGCCGAAGAAGAAATCGAAGGTGAAATTGAACGAGCAGATTTGCTGGGGGAAAATGTTCAGTTGGCTATTGCTAACATAGAAAACGCCTTGTCGCCGAAGGTCGTGTGTTTCAATGTAAATACCGAAGCGAACGTGTCGGAAAGCACGTCAGCAAATGAAGTTCAAAGCGGGAGTAATTCTTCGCCTCCCTCAGCTTCAACGTCGAATTCCTCTTCATCTGTGCGGAGAAATACTCAAGTTAAATTGCCAAAACTGGAGTTAAAGAAGTTCGACGGTGATCACAGTAAGTGGATTTCTTTCTGGGATAGTTTTGAAGCCTCAGTTCATAAAAATGAGAGTTTAACTGCCATTGACAAATTTAACTACCTAAACTCGTTGCTCGAACGGTCAGCGGCAGAGGCCATTTCTGGGTTAAGTCTTGGGGCATCGAACTATGAGGAAGCAGTAGACATTTTGAAAGCTAGATTTGGCAACAAGCAGCAAATAATTAATCGTCACATGGAAATTTTGTTGAATCTTGAATCTGTCACATCTCACTATCATGTAAGAAGCCTACGTCAGCTGCACGACACTGTTGAATCTAATGTGAGAAGCTTAAAGTCATTAGGAGTTTCACGTGAATCGTATGGGGGTTTGCTATCATCCATCTTAATGAATAAGCTACCTCAAGAATTTCGTCTTGTTATTACAAGAGAAATGGGAGATGATGATTGGCAGTTGGATCAACTGCTCAACATTTTTAAAAGAGAACTTGAGGCAAGAGAAAGGGCAAGAGGGTCTACAGTGAACAAAGGACAAACCTCTCCACCAAAACCGAAACGAAGGGAAGAAGGAACTAACCATGCCTTGTTAACTGGTGGTGATGCTAACTGTCCCACCTGCACCTACTGTAGGGGAAAACACCCATCAAGGGATTGCCAAACAGTACCTGATGTACTAGCTCGTAAGGAGCTTTTGAAGAAGTACGGGAGATGTTTTGTTTGCCTGCGAAAAGATCACATTAGTCGTAACTGCTCAGCCAAATTCAAGTGTCATAACTGCAAGGGCAGACACCATGTTAGTATTTGCCCACCCAACCTGAGTCCTTTACAGCCAACGAAACGTGAAACACCAGTTCCCACACCAGGACCACAACAGCAATGCTTAACAGCCCAAACTGCCAGCAATAGTGTCGTTTTTCATACTAATTCCACTACACCTGTGTTCCTTCAAACTGCCCAAGCAGTGGTGTACAATCCTCAACAGCCAGAGGTTAAGGTCAGGGCTAGAATAATCTTGGACAGTGGAAGTCAGCGCACCTATCTTACAAACAACCTGAAGAACATTCTTCAACTACCTACTCTAGAGAAGAAGCAAGTCTCAATAAAAACCTTTGGAAGTACCGTTGAAAGACTAGAGTTGGTAGAAGTTGTGGCCCTAGGAGTAGAGCTAAACGGAGAACCAGATCTTTCACTGTCAGCTTTTACATTGCCTCTAATTTGTCAACCATTACAAGGTCAACCTGTGGAACTAGCAGTGAAAAATAACCCCTGCCTTTCGGGACTCAAACTTGCTGACTTTTGTACCGAAGGAGAGACTCTTGGTGTTGACATTCTAGTTGGTTCAGATTATTATTGGAAGTTGGTGACTGGCCACACCATTAAAGGGGCCCAAGGTCCTACAGCTGTTCACACCAAACTGGGATGGGTACTTTCAGGACCCGTTTGCTTAGGGAGTGTAGAAAATCAACAGAGAAGTAATCTTGTGACAACCCATGTCTTAAAATGTGCTACTGATCAAGTGTCCTATGGTGGTCTTCAGGGAGAGTTGAAGAAGTTCTGGGACTTAGAGTCTCTCGGTGTGAAGCCGCCAAGTGTCTATGAAGAGTTTGTTGAGAAGTTGTTGTACAAGGGAGACCACTATGAGGTCAGTCTCCCGTCGAAGGCTACACATCCACCACTCCCTGAAAATTATGAGTTGAGTCTTCGAAGATTGCAAGGTTTGCTGAGTCGACTCCGTGAGAAGCCAGACATCCTGAAGGAGTATGACAGTGTTATAAAGGATCAAATCGAAAGAGGAATTGTGGAAGTTGTGAATGAAGAAACCAAGCCTAATGTCGTCCATTACATCCCTCATCACGCTGTTATCAGACGAGACAAGTCAACTACAAAGTTAAGAATTGTATATGACGCCTCAGCCAAGTCAGATGGAGCTTCATTAAATGATTGTCTTCATGCCGGTCCTGCGCTTACACAAAGTATCTTTGACATTATGTTGAGGTTCCGAAATCACAGAGTAGCTCTGGTGGGAGACATTGAGAAGACGTTCTTAATGGTCCATATGAATGAAACTGACAAGGATGTACTCCGTTTCCTGTGGGTCGATGACATCGATAAGGCTGAACCTAAAGTTATTACACTGAGGTTTACACGTGTTGTGTTTGGACTCTCTTCAAGTCCATTCTTACTGAACGCCACAATTAAACATCATATAGAGCAGTATGAACAATGTGACCCTGATTTTACCAGGAAGTTTCTTGAAAGTATCTATGTTGATGACTTGACATCGGGGGACAGTGACGTGGACAGCACCTTTGAGCTCTATGTGAAATCGAAATCGAGGCTCAGGGAAGCAGGTTTCAATTTGCGGAAGTTTATCACAAATTCAGGAGAACTGCGAGCGAGAATTGAGGACAATGAGAGATTGGTCTCAGGAGAAACAGCTTCTGGAGATGGAGGGAATGTTGACAAGCAGGTTGTTGAAACACCAGTAGTAGACACAAACGTCGTGGAAGAAGAAGATATGACCTATTCAAGAAGTGTTCTAGGAAGTGCAGTTGAAGATGTTAGCGTTCAAAGAATTTTAGGGACTCTATGGAACTAGCACAATGACAACCTCGTCTTTGATTTTACAAACACTGCCTCTTTAGCAAAGAGAGTAGAACCTACTAAGAGAAACGTGATTAGCACAGCCTCAAAAATGTATGATCCACTCGGTCTGATTTCTCCGATCACAGTCCAGTTTAAAATCCTGTTTCAAGAGTTGTGCAAGGACAAGAGAGACTGGGACGAACCACTGGAAGGTTCTTGCAAGTCAGTCTGGCAGAGATTGGTGACACAACTGCAGGGTGTTAAACCTCTTACTCTTCCGAGATGTTATTATGCTGGCACGGAAGGGGAAGTGATTGCGAGTGAACTGCATGGGTTCTGTGATGCATCAGCTAAGGCATACGGTGCGGTGGTCTTTCTGCGTATTGTGACGACGTGTGCAAGTTATGTCAGATTTGTATCTTCAAAAACACGAGTAGCACCTCTCTCGGAGCAGACCATACCGCGTCTAGAACTGTTATCCGCGGTAGTCCTGTCCAGACTGATCCATAGCGTAAAGGAAGCACTTAGTTCTGAGATGAAGATTGACAAATTGTTTTGTTGGACAGATTCCAAGATAGCCTGGTATTGGATTGTTCAGAGCCAGAAGGAGTGGAAACCATTTGTTCAGCACCGTGTTGACGAGATAAGAAAGCTTGTACCTGAAGAATGCTGGAATCATTGTCCAGGGGCTGACAACCCAGCCGACTTACGCTCTAGAGGTATGGACTGTCGTGAGTTGGAGAACAGTGTGCTATGGTGGAATGGTCCCAAGTGGCTGACTAGTTTCGAAGGCCTGGAGAATCGGAAGGAGATTGCGGAAGAGCCAGTCCCTGAAGCCTGCCTTGTAGAAATGAGGGTGAAGGATCGAAAGACAGTAACGACTGCTCTTGCAATGAACAGTGAACCTACTATGCTGTGTAATATCATTCAAAGTGAAGCCTTCAGTAATCTTGGACGTCTCCTGCGAGTTACAGCCTTAGTTCTGAAGTTTATTAAGCTATTAAAGGCACAGCGACAGGGAGATGTGAATCAGAAGCCGGAGATACGTGTGACCGGTGCAGACATAGAAGAAGCCGAACTTCTATGGATCAAGGAAGTACAACGAGAGATGAAGAGTAAGGAGAAGTTTAAGATGAGGTCGCACCAGCTAGGGTTGTTTGAGGACGATAAGGGAGTTATTCGATGTCAAGG